ACCCACCAGAACCTACTTTTCTGCAGGGTCCCTCTAAATCACATATGAGGGTTCCTTCTACCATATCAGGGTTCATAATAAGAACCTAAAAACCGTGGAATCTAAACCCGAAACCATATCAACCCTAAACCATAATCAGAACCTAAAAACCCAGTGGAATCTAATCGAAGACGTGACTGGCCTTGTAGGTGCTTGCTTGGAGGATCATGGGACTTAGTAAGTAGGGTTACAACTAAGGTAACTATACTTATAACCCCAATTAGGGGACCCCAAACCCTAAACCCTAAACCCTAGACCCTGAACCCTAAACCCTAAACCTTATAACCATATTTGCAAAGTTCCATGATCCTCCAAGTGAGCTCTGGAGTTTCACCTGCCGCGGCCTCCGGCCACCAGCACCCGACTGCAAACTCCGGGAGCTGTCCCAGAGAGCCCAATACCCCTTAAATAAGGAATAGACCTTAGATTTTGGGGGCCTTAATATAAAGATTTAAGCTATATTCCTTAATTAAGGGGTATTGGGCTCTCTGGGGTGTTTGTAGGGTTCATATAGGGTTCTAGGGTTTAGAGCTTAAGGTTTTAGGGTTTAGGGCTTGAGGGTTTTAAGGTTTAGCGTTTAAGGTTTTAGGGCTTTAAGGGTTTAGGATTCGGGTTTTAAGTTTTAGGGTTGAGGGTTTAGGGTTTCAGGGTTCGGGTGTTGAAGGCCACCTTGGGGCTCCAGTTATCTAAATAATCGGCTATTGGGTTACATAATTATGTATTATGGCTAGTAGCCTCCTATTTAGGTAACAGCAGCCCTACAGCCAGCGGTGGGGCGGGCAGAGCATGCCAGAATGCTGATGATTCGACGATCACTCCCAGTGAAAGGCCGCGAGAAGCGGTGATTGCTGGCTCCTGCAGTTCCTGGCGTAAGTCACGGCTAGTTGCAGGCTCTGCAGGTCCTGGCGTCTGTCATAGCCGCCCGAGAAGTTAGAACCCAGGGTGCACCCCAACTTCTGCTCCCACATCACATCACAAACCCTTCAGAACCCTTTAAGGGTCTAGGGTTTGGGGTTTTAGGGTTTAGGGTTTAGGGTTTAGAGTTTTGAACCCTTGACGGCATGGGGATAGAATTGCTCCAACTTTCTGGTTCTGCCATAACCAAGTGCCCGGCACAGTTGGGGATGAGAGGATTGTCGTACATCTCGTCCTGTGTGAGCGCTTCTCTCGAGACGCGGAAACATGAGGATCACACACGACCACCCCTCACTAGAGAGTGCAGGGTTAGGAGGTTTTCGGGCGTAGGTTCTGACGCAGGACAAAGCAGTTGCCAGCGACATAAGTCTTTGGAGCGGGAAGACCGAAACATTGATGTTGACTCGAAGCCTCATACAAGAAACTGCCCCCAAATCTCAGCTGTTAAGACCACTGACCCCCAAACGGCAACCCCAATATGGAGCCTAAGCTCAGTTGAACAGCCGTATAGGCAGCCATTCTTAGGCATCTACTCTCTAGCTACTCGCAAGGTTCTAATGCGATCTTGCTCATAGGCGACACATGGGACACAAGAGTAACCTTCCGAGGCTTAAGTTAAAAGGGGGGTCATGCAACCAGCAAGCAAGCTCAAACGAGCCTGTAAACCCGACGCCCATAACATGCACTTACATAACTGCTAGGCAAAAAAGGACCGCCTTCCCTCATGAAGCCAACACAGTACCCTCTAAATCCTGCAGACCCTAAACCCTAAACCCTAAAGAACCACAACCCTAAACCTTAAACCCTAAAGAACCACAAGGCAACCTGCATAAGCCCCAAGCTGAAAAAAGTTCCGCTCGAAACTTTCTGGCTCTGTTTTTAAGAGGCTTAAGATCTAGCATTTGGGGTCTGGGGTTTATTAGAATTCAAGTTGGGTTTAGGGTTGCACCCCGCAAAGTGCACTTTAAGAGAGTTCTTATGGTTCTTAAAACTGGGGTTTTGGGGGTATATTAAAGGGTACTTAGGGGTTCTAGGTGGGGTTTATTAGAATTCAAAACCTTTTAGCCCGCAAGGCCTCTACAAACAGAACCACTCAGACCCGACCGGAGCACCTAAACTAGGGACCCAAGAAAGCACATAAGCAAAAATTAGGATGATAAGGATATCCCATATAAACATCCTTATAATGAATCCCGATCAGGTAGGGATATCCCTATAACATGTTTGTGGCTATGTCCTTTGGGGCCGCTAATAAACCCTGAAGTATCCAGGGTGCCTCCTTCTCGTTGTTGTTCACGGAATTCACGGGGACGTGTGAGGCCTCCATAGACCGGATCCCTTCAAAACCCTGAACCCCAAACGGTTTAGGGTTTAGGGTTTAGGGAATCCTGATATCCCAGATTCCCGGGAGGATCTAAAAAGTAGATCCCCTAAATCTGCGATCCTAACTACTAAAGGGTACTAACTACTAAAGGGTACTTTATAGGAACCTCCTTAAGGGATCTACTTTCTGGATGCTCCCGGGGGTCTGGGATACCCTTACATTATATACCCCTAAGTCTGTAAGGAAATCCTTACAGGATCCACGAAACACACCCAGATGCACAGACACACACACACACACACTCAACCACTAACTGACACCCAAAAAGCATCCGGCAACGAACGAACGAACGAACAAACGAACCTGCGCGTGTAGGCATTTACGCACGTACCTGCTCCTACTGCCACTACCACTTCCACTACTACTACTACTACTACTACTACTACTACTGCTACTACTACTACTACTACTACTACGACGACGACTATACCACCGTCACTAAACCACTACCAAAACCCAAACTGCCCAACACCCTGCAGATGCTTTCTTTTTTTATGGAAAACTTCGAAAAATCCAAGCCGTGCAGCCGGTCCATTAGGACTGGCCACGCGGCTGGCAGTGTCGGTAGAGACTCAAGTGCCGGCGCCCCCTTTTGGGGATGCCGTGCCAGACACGGTGTTCCCGGCATGTCGCCGGATTCCACAAAACCTGCTGGATACTGCCGACACTATGCGGGAGCTCCGACTGCCCAGCACAATGATTTCGGCCGATGCCGGGATTTCAGTAGGCGTCTGGTAGAGAAGACGCATAAAGGTGACCCCGCTCGCATTGTTGAAGACGGCCTTCAGGCAGCTCTCGCCGGTTGCCGCATAATTGAAGTGGAGCCTGCAGGGCAAAACCCTATAAACCCTACCAGCACGGTCGCTTGAGTTAATGTTGTTTATTACTAGGTTATACCTGAGTCATAAACGAGATATGTCAGTTACAACCGAGTTATAAGTTAGTGGGTTTTTATGGACTTATGTGGGACTTGTGCGTGAGTTATAAGTTGGGGCCGGAGAAGTTAGAGCGAACTTATGTTGAACTTATTTTGAACTTACTTTTCTATAAATATCTTATGCTTTTCTTTCGAGTTTTGCTTGTGAGTCCATGCAAATAATGAAATCCAAAATCTGCAGTCCTTTTTGCTCGAAAACACCCGTGGAGCTTTCGTCGGCTGCGACAGCATGGGACAAACTCGCAGCCCTCCTCGGCCCCAGCTCTGTTTTTACAGCGCCAGCAGCCGGAGTGCCACCAGCATCCGAAATGGAAACGTCCGGGATTTGCATTATCTGGTGACCGACATGGACAGCCAGGTCGCAGACTCGTGTGCAAGAAATGCAGACGCAGCAGGACCTGCAGTCCGCTAGTCACTTTTGTGGAACGGTGGATCCAGCCGCTGCGGAACATGTGCTCAGCAATCTTCAGGAGCTAGAAAACAAACCTTTGAGTTGGACACAGCCCCATGCAAAGCAATGCTGAATGGGAGCAAAAAGCACGTGTCCGCGAAATGTCCGCGCGTGTCCGCGTGCAGGATGTCCGCGCAGAGCATCCTGGAGTGTATAAAATTGTCCGCGGGTGTCCGCGGCCGCTAAAGCAATATAGGCTTGCCGCCGCCATATGGCATCCGGGATGGTGTCCGCGGGCCAGGAGGGTGTCCGCGAAATGTCCGCGGGGTCTCAAATAAAACTCACATTTGAAGGTTTGGGACAGCCCGTTTTCAAGTTCCCTCCGGTTGGCTTTTCTAGTCAACCTGGTGCTGCTCCCTTCCAGTGCCTCGCTTGTGCGTTTGCTTCGCCTGGCGCCATGGCCGAAGCTTCGGTTTCACCGCAGCTTCATCTTCCGCATGTCCCTTCTCCGACGAGTAGACGCGAGACCTTGGGGAAGTGATTTCCTTCTCATGAACGAGACAAAGGTCTTCCAAGTAGACTCTTGTCACAACCTGACCTTGCCATCCTGGCGGCGATGGAAAGGTCAGACCCTCCAGCGTCTCTTCTGACTGCGCGGACCTGCTTGCGAAAGCGGCGAAGATGGGTTGCTCAGTTTGCATTGGTGACGACAAAACCACAGTCTTGTGCAATTCAGCTTCAATCAAAATTGTCTTTGTTTTTGGACCACAATGTAGAACTTAAGTTGAACTTATAAGTCACTTGTAAGTCGCTTGTAAACACACCCGCTAAGTCCACATTAAGTTACTTATAAGTGAGGTATATGTATAACCCCTCTAGCGACCGTGCTGGTATACCCTTATAAACCCTATAACCCCTAGCATGGAACAAGCTATATAGGCCGAACACCCAATATATTAACAAGATAAACTTAATCCACCGATGACCTCAGCCTGTCTTTTCTCCCGTATTGGAAGAAAAGGTTCAGCACCACAGTTCTGAGGCTCCCAGACTCGGTCCAAGCGCTTTGCATGGCAGCAGTCAATAAAGCGCCGGCATTGACCAAGGACCCAAGTGCTCTGAGCCCAGCAAATTCCTTCAGAGCATTGTCTTGACGACTTGTGTATGATTCTGGTGATGCGTGGGCAAACAATGCCATGAGGCCAGTGCTCGTGAAGTCTTGGCAAAGATCGTCCCATGGGCCCGTCGCTAAGTTGTCCTGATTACATGTCCCCCTGTCTCTTGTATGCCCGTTGCTGAGATGTTTGTTTTCAACGAAGCCGTCCCTTGAGGACCAGTTCGTTCACCCGCCACAGGGCTGGCTTAGCCATGCCCGTGTCCGGGTTCGTTCCAGGGAAGTACTTGCACCGACAGGAGTACACCGTGTCTTCGGCAACAGCGTCCTCCTGCCGGCGCAAGTAGTGCCTCCCGTACTCCGCCTGCGCTTCTCGGTGTGCCTTGACCCCGCAGTTCTGGTACCCTGCGAACTTGTCGTCCGTTTTTTTGAAAGGGTACCAGTGCACGCGCCCAAACTTCACCAATTCAACAGCAGGTGCTTGGTAGCGTCTATGGCCTGCCACGTCGGCTTCCCAAGACACATCAGGTTTGCATGCTCACACTCACACGTTGCGCCTGCTCCTCGAGCCTCACGTCCAGCACCTCTGGAGGCCTTAGCATTTCTAAGGCATGCGTCTGCCGAACACAAAACAGTCTGCGATTAGTCGTCTGTGCCAGGGCTTCCACGAGCCTGCAGTTCGGGTGAAAGTGAATTTAACCTTGGCTGTGGGTCTTATCAGAATCAGCCTGTAGACGTCACTGCGAAGACTTCCACACGCCGGTTGAACCAGGCTGCTCTCCAAGAGTTGTTTGAGTGAGGTTAGAGTGCAAACAAACCGTTTGTCCTCCTTCTTGGTCGCGCCCTGACACAATTTCACAAGCTTGCTAGCGGCTGCTAGCGTACGGCTTGTGCAGCTATAAGGTTCCCACGGCCGGTTTCGTCTCCTTCTTGCTCACGTCCTCAGACAATTTCACAGGCTTGCTGGTGTAAGGCAGTTGCAGTTGTGGGGTTGCCACGGCCGTCTTCGTCTCCTGCGTCCTGAAAATGCGAAGTTCCACAGCTCGCCAATGTACGGCTGCGGCACGGCTGTAGGGTTCCCACGGCTGGTTGTCTTGTGCGGAGGCTCGACACCGCTGGATTGCTACGTGCAAATTCAGCTAGCACAAACTTACTTAGAAGCACACGTTCTGGGTGTTCTTCGCCGGGTCTTGCCTGGGTAACGAGCGGCAGGATGTTCAAGCATTTGCACTTCGGCAAGGCAGTGAGGCAAGTGCTCCTCCTGGAGCTTCAGTGCCTTATTGCGCTGGCTGCCAGTGAGGCGGGCAGCACCTTAAAGGACATACGCACAGCTTTTGTTGGCCGTTCACGAAACTCTTCTACCTGAGAAAGTCTACCTCAGAAAGACACCACGCTTAACACCGCGGCCCATGCTTGGAGGAAGTTAAAAGCAAGAAAAGTCGCTACCCTCAGGCTTCGTGCCAAGCATGGACGCGACGCGGAGGCAGAGGTCTCAAACTGCTTCAAGACAACCAGCGCAGGCTTCGGCTTGCGACCCGTGTCTTTGTGTTTATTGTAGCAAAAATAATAGTAGTAGTCGTCGTAGTAGTAGTAGTAGCACTAGTAGTAGTAGTAGTAGTAGTAGTAGTAGTAGCACTTGTAGTAGCACTAGTAGTAGCACTAGT